CTCTCTCTCTCTCTCTGCCTGCCTCTCTGCCTACTTGTGATCTCTGTCAATAAATAAAACCTTAAAAAAAAAAAATAAGGGGCGCCTGGGTGGCTCAGTGGGTTAAAGCCTCTGCCTTCGGCTCAGGTCATGATCTCAGAGTCCTGGGATCCAGCCCCACATCGGGCTCTCTGCTCAGCAGGGAGCCTGCTTCCTCCTCTCTCTCTGCCTGCCTCTCTGCCTACTTGTAATCTCTGTCAAATAAATAAATAAAATCTTTTAAAAAAATAAAAAATAATAATAAATAAATAAATAAATAAATAAATAAAATTTGTCCAGTATGTATAAAGCCAAAGCCCTCTTGACACCTCATCCCAGTCTCTTCCCTACCCTTCCGGAAGTAACCATTAAAATGAAATTAACATAGGTGGTGGTGGTTGTTTTTTTTACATACTTACATGTATACGCATCGATAATATACTATTTGTGGTTTTTTTAAGCATAATGAACACGGTCACATTGTATATATCCTTCTTCCTCTAGTTTCTTCCCTTAGTAGTCGAGGGGATTTTCAAGGGTCCCTTCGGAGCTCTCTGAAGTCAATGGGGGGAGCAGATGCTGAGGAGGACACTGTGAGATCCATCCACCCTCCCTCCTTCCTCTGGGCCTTCAACACCTTCCTCTGGGCCTTCAACACTCAGCCCAGGGGGTAGGGGGAGCTGGCCAGCCACATCTCAGGGACCTGCCTGTGCGGCCTGTGCTGATCACCGCACATTTCATATGCCTTCCCCTGGTCTCCAGAGAATACATTCAAGGAAGACCTGAGGCCCCACCCTGCTCTCAAGACTCAGCCCAAGATTTCAGAGCCATGGAAAACTCTCTACCCTGAGTTACTGGGGCAGTGGGCTGTCAGTCTAGAGCCACCAGCAGCCCGTTGCCCCCTGACATGGAGCCAACCGCAATGGAAGCAGAGTCAAGGGTTGGAGAATGAGCTCATGGGTCCTGAAAACATTGCTGGAGACCATGAAGCCACCAGCAGGAAGCCAGCACCACCTTTGGACTTCCCAGTGTCAGGAGCCAGTGAAGGGCTCGTTTTCTTCAGCTGGAGGAATCCTGAGGAACACGCATCCCATGTACCAACCGCAGAGCCCCAAACCAAGCTTTGGCTCCTGGTCACCTGTCCCCCACCCCCACCCCTCCCACCCTGCCCAAGAAGAGCCTGGCTTTAAGCCCTTCTCCCAGAGCCTGTCCCCATGCCCTCCATGTGCCTTGACACCCTCCCCTTGGATTGGACCCGCCTCCAAAGCCACTGATGGCAATGCAATGATGTTAAATAGTCAGTTACACCTCAAGCAAAAATGGCACTTTATGAAAATTGTGGCCGTGTCCGCTAACAACTCAGTCACGAGTACTGCTTCTCGAAACAACTCCTGTACCTCAGGACTCTCACAGACGTGCTTTCTGCCTACGTCTCATTTCCTCACGCAAAGGATTAAAAAATTGTGTTCTCAAGTTTCTAGATTTAATAAAACTAATAATGTTTACTGCTTCATAAAAGACATTCTCAAGGGAAACTGGCTTTTTCCTTTTCCCACAAAAGTGGTGGTGAAGAAAAAACACAGTGACAACTGGGGCCCTCTGGTGCCGCTGCCTTGATTCCTGCTAGGGTGCCAGAAATTTTCCTCACCATTGCTTTCGCACACCAGTGCGATTGTCAACATAGTAAAAAGGGCAACAAACATCTGTGTATCATTATGAAAAAATTGATTTGACCACCTGAAAGGGTCTTAGGTGCTCTTAGGGACATTTTGAGAAGTGCTGCCTTACACTATTTGAAAAGATGGAGTAGTTGTCCGAAAACCTCAGATTATGTAATCCAATCAAGATAATAGGATCCATTTTTTTAAAGTCACATGTCCACAAATGCCTACCATGTTTCAAACACCATTCTGTGCTGGGGGTACCGAGGTAAATATAGGCATATGTGGCTCCCTACGCTTTAGGGCTTAATTTTATTTGAGGAGACAGACAATAGACAAAAAAGACAAGTTTAGACTATGAAAAGGCTATTAAAGGACAGAGTCAGTACAATGTACTGGAGGCTGGCCTGGGGGAGTCTTTGTCTCCTCCAGGAGAACGGCCAGGGGAGGTTTCCCAAGGCATACCCTTAAGGAAGGCTAGAAAATGAGAAAGACCCATTCCTGCAAAGGGCCCAGGAAACAGCATTCCAAGTACAAGACTTAGAAAACACAAAGGCCCTGGGACAGAAATAGCATGGCATTTTTAAAGAACAGGAGGGGTAGAGTTAACCCTATTTCTCTTTCCTGACTTTTCTCACTGCCTAAGGGTGCTCACCCAATCCGATGGGTTCAAAGTCATCCGCTGCACGCAAGGCTGACGGCCACAAATGCTTTTCTTCCACTGACCCTCCCCAGTAGCCAGCCTTACGCACCCAACCAACATTGGCCACCAAACAGGCCAGTGCTCAAAACTGACAGGCATACCTCAGGCTAGCAGTAAAGATGCGCCAAGGAAAACCACAATCCCACAAAGACCCAAGCCCTATTACCACTAAACTCACTTCTGATTGGACTGGGGAGAAGGCGCCCATCAGAACTGCAACTAACGGACCCCCAAAACAAGAGAAGAAACAGACAATAACCTCAGACGCATGGGAGAGATAGAGAGAGAGATGCTGCTTCTGGAGGAGATGAATTTGGCTCTTAGGAACACTGGCTGATCCCGGAACTGCCATCTCTGCAGCTCCTTGGGACTGTCCTGTTGCTTCTGACATGAATTTTGTTGAGTCTGACCTGCGTGTTCCTGGGTAACTGTTCAAAATTCCGATGCCTCGCTGCACCCCTAGGGACTCCAGTGCAATCGATCAGGGTCAAGGCCTGCAGCCCTGTATTTGTGCAGCAGCCAGAGCCCCGGGCCTCAGGGGTGTGCTTCCCACCTGGCCCCCTGGAGATACCGACTCTGATTGCCCTGCTCAGTCCAGCAGCGGGGAACGCTTGCCCTCGCTCACCGCGGACGCGGACGCCACCGCCCGCGGAGACCTGAGGAAAAGACTGCGGCGGCAGAGGGCGAGCGAAACTGGCTTCTCAGGTTCACCTTCACACACCCAAAGTGATAGGGGCGCGGGGTAGGGTAGTAGAACAAAAATGTGCAGCGGTAAAAAGAGAGCCGGGACGCTCGGTTGAGGCACCGCTGGGATTCGAACCCAGGATCTCCTGTTTACTAGACAGGCGCTTTAACCAACTAAGCCACGGCGCCGCCCGCACGAATACCGCGAGAATCTGCGCCCCATCACCATTTATTCCATCCGCCGTACGCTTGCGCATGCGTGCTGCCTGCAGCTGGCGCATGCGTGGTATCCAGTTCGGCTCACACCCGGGGCTGAAGCGAAGGGGTCGGACGCGGAAACTCTGGAGCAAGTGGAGCGAGAGACGCCGGCGGGCTGGTCTTCCCGGTCTCTGCAGCGTCTGCCCGCAGGCGCGGAGCCCCGTGGCCAGGTGTTTGGGGGACGCCCGCGCAAAGTCGGACCTTCTGCCCTCCAGACCAGGCGCGGGAAGCCCCCCAGCCCGTCCTGCGAGGCCGAGCCCCGGGGATCGGGTCGGGGCTCACACCCCGCGGTGGCTCCGCGGTGACCACGCCCCGCAGTGATCTCTCCGGCGCCCTGAGCCCGGGAGGCGGCGGCGCTCCGGGGACGCCCTCGGGGTCGGCGGCCCTTCCCGCCCTGCGGGCGCCTCCAGCCGTCTGGCGAGACCGGCCCTTCCGTCGTGCCGCTTCTCCCAGGACACCGCGGGCGCCTGAGCTTGCCCTGTGGGACCGGGAGCTTCGAGGGGGCCCCCGACGCGGCCCGTGGGGAGGTTTGTGCTGCAGGAGCAAGCGGGGCCCTCCCCGCCCAGGCCTCTCGCCTGCTGCTTCTGGGTCTCCTCTCCCGGACGCGGTAGCCACCTCGTCCCAACACTCGTTAGAGGGCCTGCGAGCAACGACAAAACCAAACGCGGCTGCCCCCTTCACCCAACGGCGCCTCCGGCCGGAGAGCCTCAAACACGGAAATGTAAGTTTCTGCAAGTAGGGATGCACGGGCCCGGTCACCGGAATGACCTGCAGTAGCAAAACCCGAGAAGCCACGTGTGTGCCCATCAGTGGAGCGCTGTTGGCACCTGCAGCCCGGCCGCGCCCCACAGCGGAGAGGGGGACGGCATCTGTCCGGGGCCAGGGAGACTGCTTAGCAATGGGACTTCCCTTTCAAAGACAGCCCGGTTGCTGGGAGGGCGCAGAGTGGAGCTCTGACATGTTCATCCATCATGGACGTGAATAAATGGAGACATCCTGAACAGCCAGCCCCAGTCTGACCAGTCACCAGGGTGACGACTGAGGAGGGCAGCACCCAGCCCAGGACCTGCCCAAATAGTGACCAGCTTCTGGTGCCCCTGGGCAGAGTTATGGGATGCCAGTCAGTTGACACGAAATAAACCAGGCCTGTAGTTAAGTTTTTAAGACAAACCAAGGGGCATACTCCTGATTGATGGAAATCGCGTGAGCCATACCAGATGGGAAAGGAAGCCCTTCCTGTTAACTGAAACCTTTGTGCCTTCCGAAGTAATTGATTTGTGGAGTGTGGGGTGCACTGTGGAAGCAGGGGGAGGACTGTACATCCGCCTGGGCATTCTGGAAATGGAAAAGTTTGGGGTGGAGAGCATGAAACATTCTGTGATGGCAGTGCCCTCCACCCACCTGCCTCTGACCTTCCTGTGTCCTGAGTCGATGGCCATCTTGGAGCACTAGCCAGTGAGGTACCCACAGTGCCTTGCCTCCTCCGCAGAGGGTCCCACATATCTTCCTATTCATTTGACCAATCTTTCCTCAGGAGCTGTGGGTGCTGGCCTGGCTGCCTCACAGCGCAACACCAGAGTCCAGAATGTGTTCGTAAAAGGAGACAGAATGAAAACCAAGACATGAAAGCTTAGGGGCAGGAAAAGTGCTTCTAGAACTCACATGCACACTTGTTTTCTAAAGGAATCGAGATTTATTCTGCATGAAATCTAAAAACAGTGTTTGATCCCCAGGGGGGCTGTGGAGCTGAGGCCATGCCCCTGCCCCAGTCTGACACGCTCACCTGGGCTGGGTCTAGCCGTAGAGAAAGGTTCCTTCAGAGCCCCAAAACCTGCTTCACACGGGACCCGAGCTCAAGTCAGTCAGCAAGCCCAGTGAGCATCAGTCATTGGCGATCGGGCTGTACTCCTGTGACGGTGAGTCTTCCCCTCCTAATGATGATGAGGCCTCTGTTAATGAGCCTTTTGCATCCATCCGGCAGAACACACATTTGGTGACCGTTTCAGAAAAGATGTCACTTTCATAGTTGGAGAAAGGCCTGTCACATACTTCACACTGACATGAAATATTTAAAAAGAGTAAAAGCAAGTGCTGGTCACAGGGAACCAAGGCATCCAGGTAGGATTCTCCCACCAGAGCCAACCCCTCTGGCCAGGCCAAGGCAAGAGCTGCCTCTCCGCTCTGTGGTCTCTGCCCCCATAAGCGTGGACATTGCAGGCCACTGAGAGAGAATGCACGCGGGCTTCTCCCTCTCTTCCCCCCACAGAAACTATGCAGGTACAACCAGCCCATCCCCTGCTCTGGGAATCCTGGGGGCAGGAGTGGCAAGCCACTGGACAGTGGAGAGGACGGGGGTAGGTATCTAACCCCATCCTCTGCCCTTCACAGAGCACAACTCTGGGGCTGAGGGGCTATCCTAACCCCCTGACATCCCGGGGACCTAACTTACAGAACCATGAGAAGCAAGTAGGCAAGATTTCTGAACAAAGCCGTACTTTTTACTAGATGATGAGGGTTCTGAGCCTCCTCCTCCATCTCAGCCTGTTTCTGGCTACAGCGCACAGAGAATAGTGGCTACAGTGGCACAGCTCACCCGCCCTGCCTGCTTCCCACACACAAGTGAGCAACACCACAGGCCAGGCTAACAGGCCATGGGCAGGGGTCTCAGGGATGCCGCCCGCAGCAACATCCCCCTACAAAATGGCATGCCTCTGCCCTGGCACGCCAGGCCTCCGTGCTCTGCCACCTTTGTCTACTCAGGGCACTAAGGCCTTTGGGAGAGGCAGCCACATCCCACCCAGGGCAGGCCCTCTGGGAAATCTGGCTTCTGAGGTTTCTTATATTGATTTTGAGCAAGACAAACGCAGAGGGCTCATCTGTGGAAGAGCTTCAAGTATGTCTCTTTCTTTGTTTTGTAAGAAAGAAATTTGTTCCTTTACCTACCTTATTCTGCAGCATAATTTCCCATGGCCCAACCCCAAAATGGCAGGGCTCAGAGCAGGCAGCCACTGGGGAACCTGTCCCAGGGGATAGGTGGAGGACACGGGCAATCACTGCTCTGTAGCCAGTCAGCTTCTAGGGTCCAAGGGCCAACATGGCCACACAGGCCCTGAGGACCAGCTGGCCACAAAGACAAAGTCCATGTTGGTCCCACCCCTCATCTCCCTGCCCTACAGATTAGCCATTTCTAGCAGCCCCTCCTGGCCGGGCCTTCTAAGAGGAGACAAGCCTAGGTGGCTCCCCCTGCAGGGAAGGAGGACTCAGAGGACCAACCAGGGACTCCGCAAGCCTCTCAGGGTGCAGCCAAGTGTCTATACTGCAAGACCCTCATAGGGACTGGCCTCCAGCACCCAGGGATAGACTCTGTGGCCATCCCTGGCCAACACCTGGTGAAGCAGATGTGTCCACCCTACTACCACCGTCCTCCACTAAAGAAAAACAGGCAGCTGAGCCCCTTCCCTGGGAAGGCACTGGGCAGTGGGGGCCTGACCAAGGAGTCTGCTGCTCAAGCATGGGAGGCTAATGCCGTGTCCAGCTGTGTGTCCAGCCATGCCCCTCTGACTCATTTCACTCCTCAGATACCTCAGGCTCACTCCTGCCTCAGAGTCTCCATACTGGCTCTTCCCGATGCTGGGAAGTCCTTCCCCTAAACATCTGCACAGCTCACTCCCTCACCACCTCAGGTCTTCATCAAATGTTAACCTTCTAAGTGAGAGCTATCCTGGCCATCCTTTCAAGTGTGACCAGCAGGAGCACCTGAGTGGCTCAGTGGGTTGAGCCGCTGACTTGATTTCAGCTCAGGTCATGATCTCAGCATCCTGGGATCAAGCCCGGCATTCAGCTGCCTCCCCTCTCAGCAGGGAATCTGCTTGAGGATTCTCTCTCCCTCTGCCCCTCCCCCACCTGTATGTGCTCTTTCTCTCTCAAATAAATAGTCACCCGCATTCCCATCCATTCCCCTTTCCCTACGTTATTTTTCTCCAAATTATTTATTGCTATGGGATGTAGGACATATTTTTCTTGCTGCTTTTTTCATGGCCTCCTCTTTTAGAACATAAGTTCCCTCAGGGCAAGAATTTCAGTCCGTTTGTTCATGGTTTTATCCCCAGTTGCCCAATAAATGTTGGTTCAAAGAATAAATTCATTTGTGGAGGAAACTAATGAAAGCCTTCGTTGAGCTTAATATTACCCAGTACCAACCTGTTTCACCTTTAAGCCCAGGGCCTTTTTGCACTTGATTACCAGAGGAATTTCGTCAATTTCTTCAATATTCCATAGTCTCATGGTTTTGTCCTAAAACAAGTTAAACAGCAAACCAACAGTCACAAGATGGGCCCCTTCAACTGGGAGGCCCCAGGAAGGCGCACTGCATCCACGTTACAACGTGAAGAACCCCATCGTGCAGAGGAGCAGAATCAGGGTGACCTGCTTTCTCCAGGACCATCCCGCCTTTCGCACCATCAAGTCCCACATCCCAGCAAACCCATTCCAGGGTGCAGAAGATCCCACTTTTCAGCAATGGATGTGGAAGTTTGAGGAAAAAGGACAAAATCCCTACAGTGGCCCCAAAATAGGAACTGAAGGCAAAACTATGTTTAATGACAAATGGATATGCATAGCTACATGATCCACCTTCCATAGTTGCTGTCCGTTTTCCATGGCTTGCAGTTCACCCTGAGTTCCTGCTCATGGGCCATCCATGACTGCGAGTCCCACGGCAAAACTGCACTGTAACCACAAGTGTTAATGGGCTGCCTTTGATTTTACCTATGCAACTGGTGTGCTGTGTTTCAAGATCTTGCTAGCAAAATTTTTAACATTGTGAATATTATCATGTTTTCTAAGAGTTCAAATCGTGAAGATGAGAATAATTACAAGACAAACGCCACCATGACACAGACATCACCAGAAGCAGAGGCTGAACAGCTGTGTTTAATGACAGATGGCCAGACAAATAAAACTAGATTGGGAGCAGGGGCAAGGTGATAATTAACCAGAACATGTCATACTGCAGGATATGAGGAAAAGAATTTGGAATTGGGTATGGTGGAGAAGAGAATGTGAAAGTACATATGGACACTGAATTTCACAAGCCTGGTATGAGACGCGCAAGTTCTAAATCAGTTTTTCCATATTCCAAAAAGACACCAATGTGAAAGAAAATAAAATGTAAGCCATCCGGATTGGAAAAAAAGTAAAACTATCTCTATTTGAACATTACATAACCTTGCATATAGAAAATCTTAAAGAATCAACTAAAAAACTATTAGAACTAATAAATAAGTTCAGTAAGGTTGCAGGATACAAAATCAATACACAGAAATCTGTTGTACGTTTAAAGACTTGCAGTGAACAATCTAAAAGTGCAATCAGATACGCAATTCCATTTAGAATAGCATCAAAAAGAAGAAAATGTTTAATAATAATTTTAACAAAGGAAGTGCAAAACTTATAGACCAAAACTAAAAAAAAAAAAAAAAAAAAAAGTTGTTGAAAGAACCTAAAGGTGTAAATGAACAGAAAGATATCTCATGTTCAATAAATCAGAAAACTTAATATTGCTAAAATGAGAATAGTCCCCAAAATGTAGTACAGATTCAACACAATCTTTATGAAAACCCTAGATGACTTCTTTGCAGAAATAAATACACTGATCTTAACATTCATATGAGGAGCACCTGTGTGGCTCAGTCATTAAGCATCTGCCTTCAGCTCAGATCATGATCTCAGGGTCCTGAGATGGAGTCCCACATTGGGCTCCCTAATCAGAAGAGAGTTTGCTGGGACGCCTGGGTGGCTCAGTCAGTTAAGCAGCTGCCTTCGGCTCAGGTAATGACCCCAGCGTCCTGGGATCGAGTCCCACATCGGGCTCCTTGTTCGGCAGGGAGCCTGCTTCTCCCTCTGCCTCTGTTGCCACTCTGTCTGCCTGTGCTCTCGCGCTCTCTATCTCGGACAAATGAATAAATAAAATCTTAAAAAATATATATATAAAAAAAAGAAGGGAGTTTGCTTCTCTCTCTCACTCTGCCCCTGCCTGCCACTCGTACACAAGCGCTCTCTCTCTCTCTCTCTCTCTCAAATAAATAAAATCTTTAAAAAAAAAAACTGAAACAAAAATTGATTAGTGTTCCTAGCTAACAAGAAGAAAAGGTATACATAGTGGGAAAGAAGAAATAAAACTCTTTGCTCACAGATGATATGATGGTCTATGTATAAAATCAAAGAACCAACAAAAAAATCTTGGAATTAATAAGTGATCACACTGGGTTGCAGGATACAATGTTAACACACAAAAGTCAATTACTTTCCTATATGCCATCAATGAACAGCTGGAACTTTAAATTAAAAACGCTACCATTTACACACACCTCCAAATGAAGTACTTAGGTATATATATAGCAAAATATGTACAAGATCTATATGGTGAAAACTACGAAACTCTTCATTAATATGAAGATTGAATATTGTCAAGATCTCTGTTCTTCCCAACTTGACCTATGGATTCAATGCAATCACAATAAAAATTCCAGAAAGTTATTTTTTGGATATTAACAAACTGATTCTACAGTTTTTAGAAGAGGCAAAAGATCTAGAATAGATCTTATATTATAGATCTTATAATGACGAAGACAGGAACAAAGTTGGATGACTGACACTACCCAACTTCAAGATTTACTGTAAAGCTACAGTTATCAAGACACTGGTATTGGTGATAGAACAGACATATCGTTGGAACAGAATGGAGAGCCCAGAAATAGGCCCATATAAACATAACCCACTTAACAAATGAGCAAAGGAAATACAATGGAAGAATTACAGTCTTCAACAATCAATGTTCGAACAACTGAACATCCACATGCAAAAAAAAAAAAAAAAAAATCTAGGCACAGACCTTACATCCTCCACAAAAATTAACACAAAATGGATCACAGACCAAAATGCAAACTTATGGACGCCTGGGTGGCTCAGTGGGTTAAAGCCTCTGCCTTCAGCTCAGGTCATGAACCCAGGGTCCTGGGATCGAGCCCCACATTGGGCTCTCTGCTCAGCAGGGAGCCTGCTTCCTTCTCTCTCTGACTGCCTCTCTGCCTACTTGTAATCTCTGTCAAATAAATAAATAAAATCTTTTAAAAGAATGCAAACTTATAAAACTCCTAGAGAATAACATAGTAAAAAATCTAGATGACCTTGGGTTTGATGATGACTTTTAGCTATAACATCAGAGACATGGCCCACGAAAAAGTTAATAAGCTAAACTTCATTAAAATTTTCTGCTCTGCAAAAGACACTGAGAGATACTATCTGCAAAAGACCTATCTGATAAAGGACTATTATCAAAAATCTATAAGGAATTCTTCAAACTTAACAATAAGAAAACAAAAAACCAAGTTAAAAAATGGACCAAAGATCTTAACAGCCTCCTCACCAAAAAAGGCATACAGATGGCAAATATACATGTGAAAGATGTTCCACATAATATGCAAATTTAATCTGCAAATCAACGTAACAAGATACCACTAAGCACCTATTATAATGCCCAAAATTTGGAACATAAACAACAATAATGCTAATGAGGATGGGGAACAAAGGAGCTCTCATTCACTGCTGATGGGAATGCAAAAAGGTACAGCCACCTGGTGGCTTTCCTGCAAAGCTAAACATCCTCTTACCATGCAAGCTATCAATCAAACTCCTTGATATTTATCTAAGGGAATTTAAAACTTATGTCCACACACACAAAAAATAACCCTCCACAAGGATGTTTATAGCAGCTTTATTCATAATTGCCAAAAGGTGCAAGCAACCAAGGTGTCTTTCAGTAGATGAACGGATAAACAGTGGTACAACCAGACAATGGGCTATTTGTACTAAAAAGAAATGAGGTATTAAGCCATGGAAAGACCTAGAAGAAGAAGACATTAAGCCATGAAAAGACATCAAATGCATATTACTAAGTGAAAGAATCAGTCTGAGAAAAGCCATATACATACACATCCAACTATTTAACATTCTGGAAAAGGTAAAACTATGGAGACAGTACAAAGATCAATGCTTTCCGGGGGTTTGGGAAGGGAGGGATTATAGTCTGTCAGTGTAGGTTCGTCAGTTATTCTAAATGTCTCACCTGGAGGGAGATACTGATAATGGGGGAGGGCCACATATTTGTAGAAGCAGGGAATATATGAGAAATCTCTGTACCTCCTCTCAATTTTGCTATGGACCTAAAACTGCTGTAAAAACACGGAAGAGGGGTGCCTGGGTGGCTCAGTCAGTTAAGTGTCCAACTCATGATTTTGGGTCAGGTCATGATCTCAGGGTCATGAGAGCTAGTCCTTCACCAGGCTCTGAGCTTGGTGCGGAGCCTGCTTGGAATTCTCTCTCCCTCTACCCCTCCCCTCACTCGTGCACTCTGTCTCTCTCTCAAATAAATATTACTCAGGCACCGAAAAGAATGAAATCCTCCTATTTGCAATGACGTGGATGGAACTAGAAGTTGTTATGCTAAGTGAATAAGTCATTCAGAGAAAGACATATCATTTGATTTCACTCATACGTTGAATTTAAGAAATAAAACAGATGAACATAGGGGAGGGGAAGGAAAAATAAGATGAAATCAGAGAAGGAGATAAACCATAGGAGACTCCTAACTATAGGAAACAAACTGAGGGTTGCTGGAGGGGAGGCAGGTGGGGGGGATGAGTAACTGGGGGATGGGCATTAAGGAAGGCACACGATGGAATGAGCACTGGGCGTTATATGCAACTAGTGAAAGTGATCACTAAGTATTATTAGGACCTGTGAACCTAATAATAAGTAAATATCTTTTAAAAATAGAAAAATAAAAACACAGTCTATTAAAAAGATTAGTGGTTGCCTAGGACTGGGAAGGATAAGGTGATTGGAGGTGATGGCTCAGTGGTGCAGGGTTTCTGTGGGGGGTAATATGTTCTAAAATTGATTGTGGGGATGGATGCACAATTCTGTATGATAAGAAAAGCCATTGGGGGGAAAAAAGAAAAGCCATTAGGTTGTACATTTTAAATTGTATGGTAGGTGGATTATATATTAAAGAAACTGTTTAAGAGAGAAAAGGACACTTGGACAGTTCCTTACAAAGCTACACATGGTCTTACCATGTGATCCAGCAATCACACTCCTTGGTGTTTACCCAAATGTCTTGAAAACTCACGGCCACACAAAAACCTGCACACAGATGTTTATGAGCAGCATTATTCATAATTACCCCAATCTGGAAGCAATCATGATGTCCCTCAAGAGAATGGAAAAACAGG